AAAAAAAAAAAAAATCCATCTCCAATTTTAAGCGCTGAGGAGATAGCTCAGTGGCATAAGCACCTGCCTCGCAAGCAAAAGGTCCCGAGTTCAATCCCCAGTATCACAAAAATAAATAACTCAAGAATAAAAATCTCCCAAGGCATCTATGAGGGATCTGAACATCAGGATGGCAGGTGAAGGGAGGGGTGTCGATCTATTGAGGGGGCAGGCTATGTCCCCACTGCACCCCGCCCTGTGGCAAGGGCAGCCAACCAGAGTAGACTGGATGTAGGACCCTAGCAGCTGCGGTTCCCAGCATTTCAAGGTGGTGAAATGCTTGTTTCTCATGAACCAGAATGGGAGGGATTGTGGCAGTGCAATCCTGGTGGCACCCATGTGGGGAGGGACTGTGTATGACCCTCCACACTCTAGCTTCTTGCTGCACCCATGCCCACCTCTCCAGGAGAGAACTGCCTTCTGGGTAGGAGAGAAGGGCCCCAAACAAAAGTATCCAAGGAAAATGTCCTGGATGGAAAGAGCGCAAGCTGGGCTCCTTCACAGGCAGAGGAACATGTTTGAAGCAGAGAAGCTGAGTTCAAACATCTGCACACAGGGCACAGGGGATGAAATGTCTCAAGGTGGAACCAGAATGACAAGTGGAAGACTCTGGCAGGACTTCCTAATGTACAGTGTCCAGCAGGTCATACCACAAAGATGTCTGTCACCAGGGAAGACTGAAGGGAGATGGCGGCCATACTTTGATAAGGCCTGCTAAACCCCTGTCTTCTCTGGCCTGAAGAGCAGCCAACACTTATGAGCTTAGGGATTTTTGTCTCTAGAGCCAAAGTCTTGTATCCACCCCGTGCCCACTCAGTTCTGTAGAACCCTGACAGAGCAGGCCACAGACTTCAAATTTTTAATCCCTCTGTACCACCCAGAGACTTGGTTCAAGCGCAGATTATGATTATTCAGAGGAAGTGGGTGAAAGGCTTGTGGCTCCACATTTCAACTGTTCCTAGATGCTACCAATGCTACTGGTTTGTGAACATCACATTGACTGGCAAGGCTCCAGAGTCTAGACCTCAGCTGTTTCTAGAACATTCTGCAATGGTGGAAATGTTCTCTGTGCTGTTCCATGTGACAATAAGGGGGAAGCAGAAATCTTACCTCTATCCTGTTAGTTTTTTGACCTGAGAATTAAACTGACCTAAGGTGAATTAAGAGGCGAAAAGCATACAAATTTCTGTCATTCAAGTTTTAGGCAGCAGG